TGTTCTTCCGTTTAATAACGGAATATTATAATATTAATTAATATATTATAATAATTAATATTATAATATTAATTAATATATTATAATAATTAATATTATTAATTAATATTATAATATTAATTAATATAATATTATAATAGTATAATTACTATTATAATATTAATTAATATAATATTATAATAGTATAATTACTATTATAATATTATAATATAATATAATACTATTATAATATTATAATATTAACCCTTTGCACTTGAGTGGTGACCCTGAGACATCACTAAAATTTGTTATATCACGTTCTTTAAATTTAAAACATTGTTAAAAGTGTAACTGTTGTGTGAGTCACAAGACTCAATTTCATATGCATAAAATGCACTTTGTCATATAAAATGAAAACACTATAAGTCAGGAAAATTATTTTAGATTTACAGTTAAAATAGCTTCGAGTGCAAAGGGTTAAATAAAGAAGTATTGAACTACATGTCATGTATAAGTGAAAATCGATTGAATTTCTAGATGTTCGATTTCAAGTGACATTGGACATTCGATATTATTTACTGCTGGCTCCTATATTCAGAACAGAACATTGTTTAAGAAAATTATAAATTATTAGTGGTCCCTTTCTAGAACGAACTAATGCAAAGTATGTAATACTTATCCTTTGTATCTACGCTTCGCATCTAGCATAATACGTTCGTTCTCACAATCTGGACATTGCCATATAACAATACAATATAAAATATACAAAGCAAATTCAAACCAAACATTCTAGATCCTGATAAAATTACATAGTTGACGTATAAATTTATCAAAATCAACACTGAAGATGTAAACGTCAGACTGCGGATCTTTATGCAAAATAAAAATGTTCGTTGCAGAAAAACCGGAACTGCATAAACATTTGTTTCCGTTTTGAATAATAGAAACATTTCTCCTTAAATTGCAATAAACAGCAACAAGATAGAAATTCCGTTCCTTGTTTAACACTTTTAATATTATAAATAATTAATAACATACAGATAATCCTAAATTCTCATCTTCGAACGGAATAAAATATTAACCCAACCCATTTCTACCACAAATGCATAAAATCCGCTGTCTATTTATAAACAATATAAACAAATTACTATTGGATCGTTCAGAAAATTGTTTCGTTTTCGTTTTCTCCATTTTGCCAACGAAAGAACAGCGCTTTAATGAGCGTAAGATCTCAAAGCTACCAGAAAAACATCGAAAAGTTTATCTTCTCTTGCTGCAACCATTCAAAAATCGTCGTTCATTCTCTCGTGTGCAAGAACGAAACAATACTCCGACCGACCCAATACATTTTTCTACCGGCATTATCTGTGTTTCATCCACTCGTTTCTGCCAGAAAAGCATGAAACTCCGTAGTCCAGTCGTTGGCATCGGTGCCGGTTGTTCGCTCTACCGTGATTTTCCGCGCGAGTTTCCAATTTTCTCCGGCCGCAAAAGTCTTTCCCGACCACTCGTCACTCAGTCGTATATCTTTCTGCGTTCGAAGGGCCCCCGGCGGTGAGCTACAGATGATCCTGGACAGAGACGAGGTCCCGGACGAACGGCAGGTCGCCAGATTGTTGAGGCAGATTCTGGACGGGATAGCCTTTCTGCATTCCTTGAACGTGGCCCACCTGGACATCAAGGTAAGCATCCATGCTTCCGTGCCGGAACGAACCGCGGGGAACAGCGTAGAACATTTTCTGGGAATCGGAGATAATACATATTCGCGTGCACGAGAACGACGACGACGACGACGTCGAGGAGGGAACGTAGAAACGCGGTCGGCACACTCGGCTCTTATCTCGGGCTCGTGAAAAATAACAGAGCGCTCGATAACAGCTGGAAGATTGCCGTTCCCGCAAATAACGCTTATCTAGATTTTTCTCGAGAGTTGAAAAACCTCGTGGCAGGAATTGGCACGCGGCGGGGCCCACGTCGCTTCGATCTCCGCCGCGGATAATGAACGTGCCGGGGCCCCGAGAGCCTAATCTCCGGGATTGTCTCGGCCGCGTTCGACGGCGAGGGGGCTCGCGGGGGGAAAAGGAAACGGGTTGGCAACGAAACGGCGACGTTTCAGGCGGTGCTGGCAGTTTCTCAGCGTCGCGGGACGTGTTCCGCGTCGCGGCCGGTGCGAACGACCTAAATTGTTATGTAAAAGTATCCGTGTAATACGGCGATCTCTGCCAAAACTCGGGCCGAGCGCGAAATTTCCGCGCCGCGACGCGATGCGATGCGATTCGCATCGTTAACGACCATTTTCGCACCTGCCGCGTCGCCGATCAGCGCCGTGTCCCAGGCGCGGATTGCCGCGGAGAGAAGCAGAGAGAGAGACGCATTAATTCGAGCGGCGTTATCCGGTGACGAGACCACATTGTTGCCTCGTAAATCGACTTTCTCGCGAATTCAAATATTTGCTAGAAAGCGACGCGCCGCGGCGTGCGCCGCTCTCCACGCCGGCTAGGAAAAAGGGGACGCATTTTTCTGCGATTCGGTCGACGCTGGCGTGTAGCCGTCGACGTGCCTCGTTCGCGTCGCGGGAACAGAGGCGAAATCGTGATACGATTCACCGCGGTGGAATCCCGACGACGGAACACCGTCGCCGCCGATAGGGTGTTTTCTGTCCACTAAATTATTTTTGTACGAACCCCGAGGGAGTCGCGTCCCGTTTCGCCGCGAGACACCCGCTCGAAAATAGCCCGATGCCACTTCTCCACCCAACGATATTCACCTCGGGGATAATGCGCGCCTCTGTCGCGTGGAAACGGGCGAGTCGCTTCGGCCGCGTTTTCAATTAGGTGAAACCGAGACTTCGTTCCGCGGCGGGGACGAAAACGAACCGCGTCGCACCGTGCATTGTTTAAGCGACAAAATTCGGAAAGTCAACTTTCTGTTTCGAGCGAATTGCTTGCGAGATTCAGTTTGGGGTCACCGGTGGACGGTCGAAAAAAATGAAGAACTCTGCTTACAATGAGAATACGTGGTTAAAATTGCACCCTTTTGGGCAATGCTTCGATGTTAGAGGAATTTTCTGGTTCTTGTTCAATTAAAAGTAGAGTATTTGGTAAAATGGTGATGTTATTTGAAAGTGAGAGTAGTCCGTAATCCAGTTATTATAATGTAATGTACAATGACCATACTAATTGCCATACTAATTACTAATGACAATAACCATACCAATTACCCCTTTATGTCACAGTAAAACAAATTTATCACATCAACATTGCCACATCATCATTTGTCACATCAACAAATTTACTCATAATCCTCATAATTAATATAAAATTAATGTTTTAGTACTATTAATTTAATTTAATCAATATTAATTAATTAATTAATTAATTTCGATTGCTATTATTTGATTTAATTTAACCAATATTAACCAATTTAATTTAATTAATACTAATTAATTTAATTCAATTCGCATTAATTAAAATACGTTCACATAATTTCAAGTGCGAATTGATTGCAAATGCTCTGAGTCAATAAAAACAAACAAACAAACGCATGCGAAACGATCGCGACAAATTTTGAGGCATTTCTACGAATCCGATAAAAAAATATTTCGCAAAAAAGTCACTAATTTTATTCGGCTAACAATAAATTACATCAACGAAGATCTGCGTAAGGCGTCGACAAAAAACAAAGACTACTACAATTATTCTGACAAATTCCTACAATTCTTCTCACGCAAATCAACGCACCTTTGCGTTCCCTTTGAAAAACTATCAATGCATTTAGGTCGAAAATTAATTACTTAAGGAGTTCGATTTTTGTCCCGAACGCACACGAACCTCCTAAGCAACGCACCGCGCGTCTCGTCGGATTTGCATAATCGCGTCGTGGAACGATAAATCTCGATTTCTCGAATAAAAAAAGAACAGCTTCACGCCGGGGGCGAGGCTCGACGCGTCGCGTTTTCGAAGGGATGCGTGGCTCGCACCCGGAGCTTTTTTCTTATTCGATCGGCAGCGTCGATCCGCAATTTGCGACTCGCGAGATCGCGCAATCGGGGCGCAGCTACGTGCGCGCTCGCGCACGCGTGTGTACGTGTTTATCGATTATCGGAGTGATCGATATGGGTGAGCCAAGGCGAGCGAGTCGTATTAATAATACTCCCTCGGCGACACACGCGGCGGGTCGCGTATTTCAGCCTTCCTCCTCTTTTTTTTTTCTCTCGTTGCTCTTAACGCGGCTCGGATTATGATCGCGGTTATGCAACCCAATTACCCGCGTTTCGCAAATTGATAGCAATTTGTGGAGATGCGGGTTACCAGGTACGCGCCGCTGCCGTCGCCGCCGCGTCGGGCCGAGCCGAGCCGAGAAGCGGAGAAAGGAGAGGAGAGGAGAGAGCCGTCGTTATTAAATTCGCTTCTACGAGCCGGCGAATCGCGGTCAATTAAATTACCGCGCGGGGCAAACGCGCGTTTTCGACTCGGCCGCGGCAGACGCGGAACGCGACACGGTTGAATTTGCGCTCCACGCGTTCGGAGGTCGGTATTTGCGCGCGGTGTTATCGGCTCTTCTGTTCCGATACCGCGAAGGCGGTTAACCATCCGCCGGAATAATCGCGTTGTTTTCCAGCCGATAAGATAAGATAGTCGCGGCCGATCTAGACGCGCGAAACGATCCGATTAAAACGGCAACCAGGTAACTAGGTTCGCCAGGCTGTGGTCCCAGCCGCCCCGGCCTCGATCGTTTCTCGGTTTTCAGCCGACGAAACCGCCCGCGATTCGAGATTCGAGATCGCGAGAGCGTGGCCGAATGGAAACGCGCTCGTTTCGAAAGGAAAAACGGCAATGATTCGTTCCTTGGCCTTTCCCCGTCGATGCGTTCGCTTTTCAAAATCTCGGAGCGGAGGCCGTCGACGCGGCGCACGGTGCAACGAAATGCACGATTTTCGAACGAAATTCAACCTCGGCTTTCGTTCTGTTTACGGTGGGGAGATAAGGTAAATGTGGGCTGTGTAATTTGTGATATAATTTGTTAAACGAAAGACAGAAACACGAATTCGAAAATAATCAAAAGTTTGCTTAGGATTTAATCCTCGTTGCGCAATCGGTTCTTCCCCGGTCTTCAACGAGTTCATTCGCACTCGCCTTTTGACGACCGACAACCAAAACACACCTGATAGACGTTAATCGATATCTCGAAACACCTGACGTATGCCCGCAATCAATATCACATGCATCGCACGCGTGACGCGCGCACGTATGACGCCATGCATATAGTCATCGCGAAAAGAAATGTAATTCCACAGAAATATAGTCATACATTTAATGCGATTTTGTGCGATATTTATAAATAAATTATTGATTCGTCGCGAATTTATACGGATTTTCAGAAAATAAATTTTTAGATCAGTTCTTCGAAATTGATATACTTTATATTATATTTTATATATAATATGTATATTTAATATTTATATTAAATATAATATATAATTAATACATTATTAAATATAAATATAATTAATATATTATATTATATATATATAATATAATATATTTTATATTATTTATTACTTTATATTATATTGATATACTTTGTTTAAAACTCTTCAAACACTCGTCTGTTCGATGCACATGCACTCTCTATCTGCTGACAAGTTGTATGATACATATTCCGTGAAATAACATCGTAGACCGCAACTTTTCGCAAATGTAACTTCTATGAAATCAAAATATACCGTCTTATGATAGTATAAAAATTCCCACGATGCCTTGCGCTGTTTTGTTCGAAACTTTATCCAACGAATAAGAAAACCGGTTCCACTTAGTCGTTGAATTTCAGGTCAGTTGCTACCAGACCGTGAATTCGATGCATTTATAGGGCAATCGAGTAGCTGCAATTTACTATTTAAGATAGTAAAAAGATCGAAAGAATTTGAAAACGTCCATGCATTATTTTTGATCGATTCAAATTACTACGCTAAGAAGAAACTTGCAATTTAGTTTCGGTTTCTTGCAATTGGCGCGGACAATGTGTGCATTGCACAAAAATCCGCAGCCTGGTTTACCGCGTTGCGTACGAGCATTATTAAATTTCTAAAGTTTCGCCGCAATTAAACAACCGTTGGCCATTATTTCCTATAAACATTGCGCGTGCATACGTCTTTTGTTCACAGTTACGTTGCGAACCGGCGTACTCTCCGATCTTCTCGACGCATCGCGTTACGTTATATTGGGTTGGCAACTAAGTAATTGCCGATTTGTTCAATGAAATAAAAAATTCTTTTTACTTGGAACGAAGTTTAATCTGTAATGTATTTTCCATTTTGTTCGATGACCTTTTGCCATCTCTCTGACAACTTGAAAATTCCACGCTCGTAGAAAGTCTGATCCTTTTCGGCCAAAAACTGAGTTAAGTGAGATTTTACAGCGTCATCATCGTTAAAAGTTTTACCACGAAGGGAGTTATCCAGGGATCGAAATAAGTGGTAATCCGATGGCGCGAGATCAGGACTATGTGGTGGGTGTAACATCAATTCCCAACCAATATCCATCAATTTTTGCCGAGTGGACAAAGACGTGTGCGGCCTAGCATTGTCCTGCTGGAAAATGACACCTTTACGATCGACCAATTCTGGTCGCTTTTTCTTGACCGCTGCATTCAATTTGTCCAGTTGCTAACATTCACGGATAAT